GAAGAGAAGTGCTAACTCAATGGCTGATGGGTTAGCTAAGCAAGGGGTGGCTAAGGATTCTTTGTTTTGGGCACATTTTTAGTATTTTGTTGCCATTTTGATGTTGGGGAGTTAAGATAGTTTACCTCCCCATTTTCTGTAATTAATTTTCACAAGTATTATTCATTAATAAAGATTTCTGTTATCGATAAAAAAAAAATATGGTCACTCAGAATAATGCAAGACACCCATGCACTATCTCAATTATCATTAGGGTCCAGGAAACAAAACAAAAATTCTCTCAAACCAATGTTGCATGAACTTACATAACTAGATGAAGTTTCTTTCTCAGAAACACACTGGATTCCAACATTTCATGGATTCTTGAGAAAAACTTCCAATCTTCTATGTAACATTTTCCTTTCTGCTCCTAGTTTATTCGACTTAAATGAATAACTAATGTACATGGTGAGTGTCATTTTTTTTGAACTCGTCATAAAGGCCAACCAATACCCAACAATCCCATTTCCCCTTTTTTTGATCAATGCCCCATTTTCCCCATTGAACAACCATCCGTTTTATTGGTTAAAAAATCAAGAGTTCATTAAAAATAGATGCCAATTAACAACCCTTAAAAATAAACACGACGGCATTATGATTAAGGGACTACTCTGGAATAATCAGATGAATGTCATCATCATTCAAAAAAAAATGCCATCATCATTCATCTCCATAAACTACAATCAGTGAAAAAACAACGGAAAACACAGTCCCAATAAAATTTTGGCATGGACTTCAAAGGTGATGAGAAACCATTAATTTATGAAACTTCTCCTGGAAAACCCAAGACACCATAGCTTGTGCCTCTCCTAGGGATGCTTGTATTGCTTTGGTCTTTTGATTAATAAAGTTTTCTTCATTGAATGGAGAAGGGGGAAAAACCAAGACACCACAAATAAGGACAATAAATTCAATAAAACATCATCATAAAACCATAACACAACATGCTGGTCAGCAAATTGCTTAGGTAAAGAAGAAGAAGAGAGATTTGAAACCAAAAAAAAAAAAGATAAAAAGATAGAAACAACCCTGCTATGCTAACTTGATACCTAACAAACCTCTTTGCAAAGAGTAAAATAATGACTTTTCTGACACCCTCCCCACCCCCCAATTTGAGTCTACCAGAAACCAAATTAGCATATCTTGAAATCTAACAAAACTAAGGATTCAACCCGGATGCCAAGTTACAATTTTGATAAAGGGGCAACCATTCAAAAATAAAATAAGTTATTTCACTAAAGATATGATTGCAAAATAAAGGAACACAAAAGAAAATGAAAGGGCTCATAAGGTGTAGAAGATAGATTCAATGAAAAACCATCCTCTTGAGTCTTGAGTTGACTTGAACTTCCAAACACTTGTATTTGTAAGGCACCAATGGCAGCTATCTAGCAAGCTGAGTGAGGTAACGCAATTATTGGGCACATGCAAGTCTGTTTTGAGACAGATAATTAGAGTCTTAAACTCCACTGCTGGTGTGCTAACAAGGTCTGGAGTGAACAGAGGAAGGATGCACAACACATCTTCATTGCCTTGGATCACATGTATAGAATATTCTCTTTTTGCTGTTTTTGTCTAGCTATCATGGAGTAATTATGTTTCAATATGATGTCCATATTGTATATCTTTTCTGTGCCTTAAAAACCATATTTTAATTAATAGAATCTTCTGTTTTTATAAATAATTAATACAATCTTCTTTAACCTGTACTGCTAAAAGTGTTTCAAATATAATTAGTTTCCAAATTCTCATAAATGATGACCCAATTTAAGACTAAAATGGTCACCATAAGAGGAATACCCAGTCATCATTACGACTGTTCTCTTAGGACCCACTACCAAAGTACCGACCCAAAAACCATCTCACAGGCAATAGTTTTCAAGAAGCCAAGGGAAACCTAGGCAACAGGGGGCACCTTGTTGCCTAGGCAATGGGTTTTTATAATAAAAAAATATAAATCCCAGGGTAGTTCCCAAGGTTTTATAGTAATTAGCAGTAGTCTTTGACTAATAATCACCACAATCTTCATGAAATAAGTATAATCCTCATATAAAAACATAAAAAATCAGCATACCTATTATAATAATTCCTTGGTTGCTCTTGTTTTATTAGTAGTAAAGAAGATATAAGCACCAAGCCCTTGTTTGTTAGTATTAGTAAATAACAATAATAATTCCTAGGTTGCTCTTGTGTGCTCACTGGATAAATTCTTCATTTTCTTTTTTGAAATATTAAAGGGCTCAAGACAATTTGAGTGTCGATTGAACCCAAACAAATAAGAAATAATAAAAAGTAACTAGTAAAAGCATTATGAAAATATTATAAACCCTCAAAATGAATAATTTAGTATTATAAATATCATAAATAAAAAATACAAAAGGCAACCCTCGAACTCCAAGGGCGCCTTCTCACCTAGGCGTTGCCTTGGCGTTTATGTCATAGACACCAGTTCAATTCCATGAACGAAGACAATAGTCGATCCACATAATTCTATATTTGCTACAATCAGTTAACTCTTATTTCAAAAAAAAAAATCTATATTTGCTTCAGTTGCAAGACAGACTACAAAGTTCCACTTATGTTTCTCTAAGCATGTATGTTGCAAATTAATTAGCTGAAAACTCTGTAGCTGACTAAATGAGTATAAACAGTGGGAGGTTTGTTTGGCCTAGTTATTGGCTGAGTAGGTTAAAGTGTAAGGTAAGGATTGAATTAACTATGTGGTGATGTGAGGTTTTTTTGTGTGTTTCGTCCGGGGTTTTTTCTTTGTTGGGCTTTAGAAAGATTGTTTAGAAGAGAGAGGTGGGGCCTAAGAGTGTCTTTCTTTTCTCTTGCTTGTGGGCGAAATCTTATCACCACTCTTGTATCCTTCTTTCTTTTTGAAGAGAAAGACAACTTGTATTCAAAAAAGGGGGGAGGGGTGTACATAAGAGATGTACAATTAGACCAGAAAAAATAAAAAACAAAAAAGAAGGGCCTGGATCAACTATAAGATGGCAAAGAGTTAGCACTATACAAAAAATCCCTTCCCAACCTTGCTTTGCTAAAATATCTGCTGTTCTATTGATCTCCCGGGGAATCCATCTAAAGGTGCAGTTTAGCAGAGAAGAAAGCCCATGAATTTCAGCAAGGAAGTGAGATAACCTCCATGGTCCCTCATCTGATTCTTTTGCCCACTTAATGGTGATCCTTGAGTCTCCACTCCTACTGCTAAGGGACTGAAAAGGACCCCCTTAGCAACCCTTAAACCTTCTACAAGGGAGCGGACTTCTGCTTCAGAGGCATCTGCAGCTTGAACCGGGCCACTAAAGGCCCAAAAGATGTCTCCACTAGAATTTCTAACAATGTCCCCTATTCCCGCTGCTGAGGGAGGAAGCGACCTTCTAAAACTGCCATCCAACTACAACAGGTACTCACAGTCCCTACTTGGTGGAGGAAGAGATGTTGAAGTTGGAGAAGAAGGGGAAGTATACAAAATCTGCAGCCAATTTCTTTGTAACTCCCCTCTGTTCACCTCATCAAAAAGTTGGTGGACCAGCATCCATGAAAAGATTAGGGATAAAATCTTCTCACAAATACTATCCAAGGAGGAGAATCTATCTTTGAAGATTCTTCTGTTCCTTTCTTCCCAGATTCCCCACATCACAGCATGAATTACTGCTTTCCAAAAAAGCTTTCCTCTTTTTCCCATTTTTGCTTTGACCCATGGAGCAACAAATTCAGTGACTGAACTTGGAGGAATCCAACTGTAGCTTCCATCAAGAGATGCATCCAGAAAAAAATTGCCAATGACTTCTGGCAAAGCTGCAGTTAATTAACAAGTGTCCAATAGACTCTCCATCCTCAAAGCACATGAAGCAAAATGATAGTATAAGATATTTTCTTTTTTTATTGTTCATGAAAAAAATGATAGTAAGATCAACAAATTCTATATGGAACCATGACAGATGAAACCCCCCCACACACACAAACATCATACATTGAATGCTTATAAGGGATAAAACGCTTCAAAGGTCTAGTTATTTATGAAAAGACACTTCAAAGGTCCCCGGATGAATTTGCAAGGACGTCAAAAAAATGCAGAAAAAAGAACACCAGTGCAGATGCTGTCCTGTATTGTTAAATAGTCTCAAACTAAGAAGAAAGAATCAGGAAGGTAAGAACTTAAACTATATCTAGATGTAATATCAAAATATGTTCAAAATCATTGTGTATAACCATTTCTTTCCTTAAGAAAGCAAGCATAACTGATCTATCTTTATAGGGCCTTCCTTTCAATTCCAAGAAAACCAACAATTATAACTCTGCATTAAGAAATGGACAAGACAAAGAATAAATAAAACATACCGAACGCAAAGGGAGACCAATAGGGCTGAGGATACAATTTGTTTTTGGTGTAATCCATTCTGGGGGGTGATGATATTTACATGAGGATCCGAATTTGCATTCCCCTGTCCTCATGTAATACTGGCATTCAGGATGGCCAGGTCTCTCTGGATATACATGTTCCTTCTGACTACTACTTGAAGGGCCAGCAGAAGAAGGTAATGGTGGATAAGGTCCTGCATATGCAGGTGCAGAAGGTGATAGCTGTGTTACTCCATAAAGTGGACCTCCTCCAACAGTGGGTTGAGTACCAGGAGAGGCCACTGGGCTAACAGGTGCCTGCAAGTGGACTAATAACCCCTAAGTAAATGCAGACAATATTGACAAAAGTCCAAAGTAACAGAAATAAGTTTTTATTCACATACAGGATAAGGACTCCAACCAGGAACTGAAACCATCCCTGGGGAAAGCAGCACATGTCCATAAGCCCCTTGTACATATGAACCAGGTAAAAGTGGGGGCCTTGCAACTTGCCAGTTGGCTGCCACTCCCCCATATTGTTGAGAAGGAACTGAAGGAGACTGCACCATAGGATAAAATGAAGATGCAGGTGCCGGCACTGATGAACCAGCTGGTTGTGGATGATGGAATTTACAGGTTACACCAAACTTGCATTGCCCCGTTTTAACATAGTAGGAACATTCCTTCTCCCCCTGTTGCAGTTAATCTCACTTCAGGGATAATCTAATTACAAATGTCTCAAAACCTACTCAAAAACTATAAAAAATGATTTCAAAAGAAAAAAAAAAGTAAATAAAAAATATAGTAAAAATTTGAAAGTGGTTCAAACCGGTCGTAATGGGTATCCATGATAATTTAGTGAGACGGGGCTCACGGATCCACCTCCATGTCTCGGGTGATGGTACTTGCAGGAAGCACCAAATTTGCAAGTTCCCGTCTTCATAAAATACTGCACATTTAAAGGCAACAGTATGATTAACGCCATACGGCAATAATGCTTTTTATATAACAGACGAACAAACCATGGAGAAGCTAATGTAGTGAATTCATCACCAATCAGAGTCGGCCAGATCAAATGGTTGCCTGGCCTGCATTAGGAAAAGTACTACATAGGATATTAACATTGTCAGACAGCAAAGTACCTGGCACACAGGTTGGCCCACTCGCTCCGGGTACTCCACCCCTCCGGGTCTTGCAGATCCCAGAACCTAGCAGTGCATATTGTTCAAATTGATTGACAAATTCCAACTTCTAGTTCATAGATCTTGTTTCATAATTCAAAGGAAAATGGGCAACAAGAAAAAAAAAATGGACGGTCTTCCCACAGCTTCACCAGAAAGAACCATAAAGAGCTCAGAATTGTTCAAAATCAATATTGAAACCAAACAATGAAATACATAATAGCATACATTACAATATTATACTGAATTGAACCGACAAAACTGATCATTCTCATCCGAAAAAAGGCATATCGACAGCCTCGGTTAAAGCCCTAAGTTTCTACAGCTCAAAGTAAAGCAAAAGATGATCAAGGGGGGTTACCGCACTGCGATCGCGGGGATGATTGTAACGGCACCTGGCACCATAGCCACAAAACCCAGTACGCATGTAGTAGACACAGTCGGGCTCGTTAGGCCTCTCCGGGTACGAATCCCTGCTGACCAATCCCATTTGCCACATGGGTTCTGCATTTGCAAAGCCAAGGCCAAACCAAATTCAGGAAACCTCCACATTCCGTGAACCCTAAACTGAGATTGCTATTACGAAACTTCAACGAAATGAAAAAAACGAAACCCAAATGCCAGGAGAAAGAACTGACCTTCAAGCCCAGTTTGAGCCCCTGGAGAGTTCCAGTCAACCGGCGGATCCGATTGCGACCCCTCCATTGCTGGGTTCCGACCGTACATCTCCATTGGTACAGACGGTGTATAGTATACCTTACAAAAATTTACAGGAATGAAAAGGGAACGGGTGTAGAGTGCGGTTCTGGACGGTGGTGGGCTGGAATATTCAGGAAGGTTGAACAATGTCCAATCAATTTAGGGGGGAGGGAGAGGGAGAGAGGGGAGCTTGGGCAATGAAGCGATTGATTGCTTATTGGATGGGTCTCGCTCTCGCTGCTCTTCTTTTTTTTCTCTGGTTTGGTTTTGCTCTGGCTCAGTCCGTCAGTCGCCCTCTCTCTCTCTCCCTCTTTCTCTTTCACAGTCTCTCTCTTCCCCCGTTTTCAAAGCGTTCGACCTCCTTGCTGGGGCTCATTTCGTCTGTTCGTTTATATACCCGCCAAAGCCAAAGAGGAGGGTTACATTAAATAAGCACCTGGAATTGTAAATTCGCGCAAAATCTTTAAACAAAGAATCCGGATCTATATATAAATACGTAACCGACACTGCTTTTCTTTGAAATAACCCCAATGCCCTTGCTTTTTTTACTGCTTAATAAGACAAATTTGTCCTTCTCCCCGTTACAAATGAACAACGACACAATTCCCCCGTTTGTTTGCTTATTTCTCAACCTCCTATTCTCCTCCCCCAATTCCAAAATGACTTAAATAGACATAAATGGAATATTTTGAGCGGCAAAGGCTGCATTTGGCATTTCCTTATCTGAAGTGCTTATCTTATTTTTCTGTTAAAACCTCATTATTCATACAAGCATTTTAAGTGTAAAAACGAGATAAATCCTTCAAATAAAGAATGTCAAATGCAACTTAAGCCCCCATGCTTGAGAGGAATTCAGATTAGCTGAACGTTTTAGCTGTTCAGCGGGCTATGGAATCGAGAGGTTCCATGTCAGTATTAGATTCATGGGCCCCATGTATTTAATACTGGCATGGAACCTTATCATTGGTTCCACAGCCCGCTGAACAACTAAACCTTGCTTGATAGTGCTTATTCGATAAATAAAGCCTTTTATCTTATACGATGTTTGGTATAGCTTCCATTTATTAGAAAAAATGGTGCCATATAAGCATTTACATTTATTCAAGAAAAACTGGAGTTGTTTTGGTGTGTTTATCACCAAAAAAAAAACATAAGAAGAAGAAGAAGAAGAAACGTAAGTGCCTCGAATTCTATTATAGAGGCTAAAACAGGAAGCGACAAAATGACGCTTCCCGCAATGCCCCTATGTTGCTTCCAATGGTACTGTGACGTGGATAGGTGGAATGTGTTTACACGGAATACATTAGAATAAACGGTGTCAAACAACAAAAAATATATCAAAACATTTTTCGTTAATAAACATTGCCTCGACATTTATCATTGATAAATGGAAGCCATACCAAACACCATCTTAATAAGTGCTTTGAAAATATCTTTATTTTTTTCCTCAAACAGGGCTAATAAGGGTATTTTGAAAATTACATGACAGGCCAAAACGAGCCAAAAATGCAATAATCACTTTTAAAAAAGTGCTTAAAATAAGCCAAAGTTTTGTGGCTTCTTAGGACATCTCAAAGGGATAATGAATAATTGATCTTTTTACTGTACATGTAATAATACTTGTTTGAGTCAAGTGGACGAATGGAGAATATCAACCATATTTCATAGTGATGATCATTATTGGTTTACATAAGCGACTCCATTAATGTGGTCTTTAGTCAATCTAACATAGATGTCTGTAATGTGAGCCTTTGCATTAATTTCCAAATAATGCATGTGTGTAACTAAAGCAAAGCTCAATAAAATGATGGAAGCCCAATTGAATTAAATAAATATTTTAATTCATTGATTATATTTAAAGGTTAAGATATTTAGATATCGTGAGATTGTTGAAATATTATGATTTAATAACTATTAGGTTATTACCTTTTAAATGCAAAATTAATGCAAATATCTGCGTTATATAGTAAATATAAATGCAACTTTGAGTTTAAAATACTAATTGCAAACCCTAATACTGATAATAGTTCATGCATTGGGTGAGAATTCACAATTTTGCATTCACACGAGTCACTGCATAAACCCTAAACTAAAACCCAACCTTATTTTTTATTCAATATTTTTTTTTCTTTCTGCCATTCCCAACATTTGTATTCATTCAAAGAAGAGATAATTTGTCATCTCCTTTGATAGGGATGGGAGTAGCCTTCTTAGGCTTGTTACCACACACATCATATCCCAACTCCCACCTTCGCCAACATTCTAACCACTAAGCACTCGAGCACTACCTTCTCAATATAGAATATATATATATATATATATATTATTGTTTTTGCTAGGCGTGCATAAAAACATCATATATATAATATAAAACCATAATCACTGCCATAGTGCAATTGCTAAGAAAAGCAAGCTACGCTTGCATTTTAATCTGCAAACCCATAAGGCTTGGTATCCGTTTGGAAGGGTTGGATTGCAGTGGCTTTTGGCTTTTTAAGATGGGTCCCATATGGACAGCTATAAGAGATGTTTGATGAAAGGATACAAACAAAAAGAAAAACTCAAATCAGCTGTTATTGGGTCATTTGAGTGCCAATTTTGGGAGAGCTTATATGTGATGGCTTCTGGCTTTCCAAGGTTAGCCCTATACAGAAAGCCACCGAGGTGATATTTGGCATTGATGATGATTTCTTGCCCATTATTCAGGAATCAGTGATTTTTTAAAAAAATTATTGTTTGGTGTTATTTATGCCATGTAAGCTGATTTTCGAGAAACCGCCTTTGAATTTTTTTGGTATTGATTCTTAAGGACCAATTATTTTTGTATTAGTTATTATTCGATGTCATGTTATCATACAAAAATTGGAAACAGCTAGAAACCAGGACCACCAAAACTGAAAAGGGGTGATTTCAATAATCTGTTTTTGGTTGATTTCCTAAAAATCACCAAAATCGACCAACCAAACAAAAAATTTAAACACGAATTCTGCTAATACTAATGTACATGTGACTCCAACATGACAATGATTTTCAAGAAATCATTATCAATACCAAACATCAACTTAAGTTTTAACAAAAAATCAACCTCTTTACTTTTTAGATAGATATCGAGAATGACTCAAAGTCGCTGAACTAATTTAGCTTGACATTCAGCTCAGCCCTTCCAAACAGGCATTTATCTAGATATCGGAATTCCCTACAAATATAAGCTCTTTACACAGTAAAATAATGAAAATTAAGTGGTACAATAGAAACATTTCTCCATGAATTTAGCATATGTATAGTAGATATTCTTAATGCGTGTTTATGCAATGTGAAAAAGGATCTTAATAAGAACCTCCCGAAAGGATTCTTTAGGCTGTGTTTGGTTTGAAAGAAAAAGTAGGGAAAGACAGAAAAACCTATACAAGGTTTATAAAGGTTTCCTACCTTTTCCTACAAACCAAACATAAGTCTTATTAACTCTTTTTTCTTTTGAACGGAAGGATATTCTTGTAATTTGACAATATGTTGGACAATCGTTAATTTGTAATTCGCAGCGCCGGTGAGGGTTATTTTTGGTAAAACGAGCTTGATAAAGAAGAAGAAAATCACGGAAGTATATACGGACACTTAATGCTCTGACACATCGGGTCTGACCAACTGTATCTCGACACGTAAGTCAGAAGTTCCATGGGCCCGCTTTACGACTTACGGCTGTATCTCGACACGTAAGTCAGAAGTTTCATGGGCCCGCTTTACGACTTACGGCAATTCTCACCAGGGAAAATCTCTCGAGGTCGTTTCATTGCTCCCTTTCCGGTGGCAATCGATGGCTCGGATCTCGTTTCAAAGGACAAATGGTCTAGATCTTACGCGTGTCGCCATCTCTGCTCTATAAGTCACATGGTGCAGTGGAGTAGGTGAGCAATCTCTGTGATTGGCCTTTTTCAGACTATAAATTCTAGGACCGACTGTACCCGGTCGACTCGTTGGACGCTATTGTCAGAGTAATAAGGTGGAGTTGAGCGGACACCGGTAGATACCGGTCAACAGGTGGAAAGTTGTTTGACTTGGACAAACTAGTACACGGGTGGCGCTCTTCGGAGATTTTGCTGCTTCCCGTTCGCTTTCGATGATCATGCAAGTGTAAAAGGAAGCATGAGATTACATCGTATCCCGATAAATCGGAGTTATATCGGGATTTGTTTTTAACAGAAGACGTGACGAAAATTTCATTATGCCTCAATAAGTCAGTAGACAATGAACACGTGCTAAGGATAAAGCCAACACGTGCTGGCATATTTCTATTCTGCATGTGTGTGCAACTGTGTATATATAATTCGAGTCTGATCTCTGACCAGACAGAAAAGATAAGTTGTACCAGCTTGTTGATACACGTGGCACAATGAAATGCCAAAGAAGGGGTGAAGATAGATAATATAATATTATCCAAAATAGCATATCATCTTAGGTAGGTTTAGAAACTCTCGCGTTTTTTCTTGGAAAAACTTTTTGGGATTCTTAGTCTACTACTAGCCCTCCTATATACAGCATTCAGTTTGTAGATTTGTCATCAATTCACGGTCAGATTCATTCTAGCCGTAGGATGAAGTAAAGATTTTTAGGGGTGGACGGAACGGTTAAAATCTAGTTTTCTTTAGGTTGTATTTGATTGCAATGCAAATAAATTTGTAATGATGCAAAATTATGATATTGTAAATGATTTTGGTGTGAATTTTGATTTACTTTTATTTCAAAATTTATCTTATTTTATTTGATTGCATTACAAATGAAGTTAAATAAGATGTGAAACAAAATGAAGTAAATCCCAAAACAAAATTAGGCCATAATTTGCATTCTTTTCATTTTCACTGGTATGCATTTATACCGCAACCAAATAAAGCCTTAGGCTCAATTGGGTAAAAATATGAATACAAATATGTATAATGCAAATATATACCAAATAATACAAAATATAAGATTTTGCACTCCACATATTTGTATTTGTACTCTTCCAAGCTAAGCCTTAGAAAAAAATGAAACTATACAACGTAGGGTTTTCAAAAATGGGTTAAATCGAAAAAACCGGGAACCAATCATGACCGGTCCCGTTTTCCCCAAAACTGAATATTTACAAAAAAAAACGTTAATATAGTCAATTAACCGTTGACCCAAACGGTTGAACCATTCCAACCGTTTTCAATGGTTTTGATTGTTTTGCAACCAACTCTGGAAACAACACGGGTTAAATACTTGATCCCAAGTCTCCACTATAACAAGTCAGAAGGCCCAAAACCTTACCAAATGAACCACCATCGGCATGGGAGTTGTTTTGCAATGTGGGGATATTATTTGGATTGTTTATTTTTGAAACACACTACACAATAAATTGGATGATTGTTATGTACA